GAGTTAGAGTAGGAGTAGGAGTAGGGTAGGGGTAGGGGTAGGGGCAGGAGTCGTCATCGTAGTCGCAGTCGTAGTCGTAGTCGCAGTAGTAGTGGTGGTAGTGGTAGTGGTGGTGGTAGTGGTAGTAGTAGTAGGAGTAGTAGTGGGTGGTAGTAGCAGTAGCAGTAGCAGTAGCAGTAGCAGTAGCAGTAGCTTTAGCAGTAGCAGTAGCAGTAGCAGTAGCAGTAGCAGTAGCAGCAGTAGTAGTAGTAGTAGTAGTAGTATTAGTAGTAGTAGTAGTGGTGGTGGTGGCAGCAGCAGCAGAAGTAGGAAGTAGCAGCAACACCAGCAGCAGCAGCAGTAGTCTAATAGCAGCGGCAACAGCCAAAGCAGCATTCAATGCTTTCGGCATCTGGGGACAGGTTGCAGGCTTTGCGTCTTCCTAGAAGGCGGTTCGGCCAAAGCTGGCGGAACACTTATGTTACTAAACATAACTTTACTTTTTGCAACATAGCTTTACTTAGAACCCGAAGTCGAGAAGCTCATCTTGCAAAAGGCCCCAAGGCAGGCATCACCGGCCGAGTCAAAGGATGCTGGCGCCAAGCCTTTGTTCCTGAACTATGCGAATGCACCAGTCAGGAATCTGGCGGTGATCTCAGAGATGGCCGAGCACAGCCACCTCAGGCAAGTTTGAGGAAGTGGTGGGCTTGATCTTCCATCTACTACCTTGGCTGGCTTAGACGAGACTTTGCAAACTCCTGCGCTTGAATGTACATGCTGCTATCATTCGGCGATCGGCCATGGCTGTAGCTGTCACCCAGAACTTACTTAGGTATAAGCCATCGGCGCTCGATCCATCGGCCTACGGCACAGGGTAATTAGGATCTGCAGTCATTTATCCGAAATAAGTCTTAGACTCTAAAGAAACCTACACTACAAACCAAAAACGGATCCGTTAAACACATAATCTCACGAGGAGGGGTACCGCAGCCACCGCTGCGGCGACCCGCTGCACGGAACCGCCGCTCCGGGGCCAAAAATTGCCTTCGAAAAGTCCGATTCAAGCTTCCATGCTGTGATCTATGTAAGTGCCAAGAGAGGTCTGGTGTCCGCAGGAGTGGCTACCTTCGGTTTTTTTGTCACCCCTTTTTCTCTGGCACTGTGCATGCTGTTGGAAGGCCTTACAGGCTGAGGCAAAGTACGAGGGACCGCGCCGAGGGGAGTCACCACTTAACACCATCACAAGCTTACCGTACTGGCGGTCCCTCGTCCCACGAAGTATCGGCTACGAGACGGTTCGCTTCTGCCTCTGTTGCCTAGCAGTCATGATGGGAGTAATCAATCGACAGTACCGACAACAACTAAACAGTCTCAAAGATACGTGAAGCGGCGTTTAAATTACTTGTTTGGGCTAGTGGACGCTGCAAATTGGTGAATGTGTTATCGTTTTCCACAAAACAAGACTTTCTCGTACTCGGTGAGTGTGTCATTGTTCTCCATGCAAAACACATGCACTCAAACATCACTGTCCCTCCTAGTCTTCGCTAAAGTAACGTAAAAAAATCACGCTTCACGTGGGTTGCGAGTTTGCGGTGACACTCAGACACTCCAGGCGAGGCATGTTGAGAAGCTTCAGGTGCAGGCTGCCTTCACCGTGTTACACTTGTCTGTTCCTACCTTATGTTTGCTCAGCTTGCGGCTTCCCGTCTGTGCGCTTATTTCCTTTTTTTCAAGACCACTGTACACACACAAAGAATGAGCATTAAGCGCAGAGAGAAAAGGAACCAAACACAGACATAGACGTGGCAAAGACGGGGAGAGAGGGAGCGAGAGCGAGAGAGCCAGAGAGCCAGAGAGAGAGAGAGCGAAAGATAGAGATAGAGATAGTTATGAACTCCTTTGAATACATGAGTACAGGTATGGTCACATGGGCATGGTATGCCTTGCAAGTCTCTGGTCGTTCCTCCTGGGGGTCGTTCCTCCTGGGGGCCTCCGAATGCGCATCCCAAAATCATGAGACCGATACGCAGAACTACCTGCGGCATGAGATTTCGGTCAAAAATCAACAACTACTAGTAGCTACGCTCTGGCAACGCGGACAAGCCGGAAGCGGTCTCTCAGACTGCGCACGACTGGCTACAAGGCTTCCCTACTCCAGCACAACGAGGCGATAAAGGACTACAACAAAAGCCTGTGCTCCAGCTTTGAAAAAAAGCTAAGCAACAGGAAAACGAAGTGTAGGGCGAGCCACATTCATGAGCGTAGATAGGGGTTTCGGACGGGTTGATTGGGCGACGTATTATGCGCAGTGCTTCTTTTGAATGCGAAGGTGGGGGCGGGCCGGCGACTGGGGAGTGATCATGTTTCATGCCTCCTGCGGCGCGAGGGAGGCATGGACAGTCTTCACAATTGTTGAGGTTTGGAGCCTATTATCCCCTTTGTTCGTGCTGTTCTGATTCTGGCACTTGCCGAAACTTCCATCAAGTTCCCAAGACTACTTACCGGTGTGGGTAAGCATGCTGCTTCCTTGCCGAGGTGGTGCCAGAGGCAACCGACAAAATCCCGCAAATGACCCGACACGCCCAAGTTAGTGTTGCCCCTAAAGCCATTTGCCTTCCAGGTCCACGTCGGACTTCGTAATGGCCTGGAGTAGCTGCGCGACCCACTCACCAATCACCAATAACACGGAGAAACACGAATCACTGGCACCTCCATTTCCACGGAGCAGTGAGCTGCAGGTGTGGAGCCCAAGCCTTGCTAAAGAGGTCTCGTGGAATCCGGCTTCATCTGCACATATTAACTTGAAGCTGAAGCTGATGCGTTGTATCTCATCCAACGTTGGCAAAAATCAGTGTCAACGGCACCTCCTCCTCCTTCAAAGGGGTGCTCCGGCTCTGCCCAACCACTTGACGAAATCTGCCACAGCGGAGTGAGGTACCTCATGCGAGCAGGCGAGCGACAAGCAGGGAATGCGCGGAGGGGGGGACAGATCTCTTTAGGCCAAAATCGGATTGGATTAATGCTGCTGATATGTCAAATCAAATCTGAAAGAGTGCCGCCACTGCGTATGACACTGAAGACGGTCTCGAACAAACTGCCAACGCTCTTCTCATTGCAGCCGCCATACCCAGCCGCAAGGATGCCGCCCTCACCCTTCCAGGCCGCAGAGGGGCCCAGAACCAGGAAGTCGGCGCCTCGCCATAGATTCCACGAGTGAGGCCGCCTAAAGTCCTAAAAGGCCACTCCAGGGCTCCAACCGTTTTAGAAGATTCTTGCTTCCAACCTTCCCCCTAATTACCCCCCGACATACCCCACACCCCGAAGCATCACAAACACATTCCCAACTCATGATTCCTGCTCGGCTGCAATAGCCCTCGACTTCGAAAAACAAGACGAAGACCTGTTATTCCAGTCGGTTCGGAGTCCCCTTTGGCCCGCTTGTCAATCCCGGCCGTGGCGTCCAGATGTCACAGGCACTGCTGCCACAGCCTGCGCCAGACCTGTGTGAGGGGGTGGTGCCGGTGACAGGTAGGAAGTGTATGTCCAAGAGGAACGGCAATTATTGGCTCGACTCGTGATGTGAGATTTCTGAACCATAATGCTCGAAGCATTGCTGGACCATCAAAACCGCTTCACTGCATCCACCCTTTGCTCTGAGAGCTTGATGCCACGAACAACAATCACATTCTCCTGGCCTTTCTCATCTGTGCCGTGGACGAGGAGTGCGAGTTTCCGCGAGGGCAGCGGGCCCACAGCGAGTAGGCCTGCAGGGCTTGCAGAATAAAGCTTTCCGACTGATTGCACATCTGCTTGCGTTAAACAGGTCATTCGAGACCCGGCCCCCGGAGAGATACAATAAGTATGCGAATGCCGAGCCATGGTTGAAGTAGCAGCTGGTGAACAAGCGTAAGTGTTCAAACCTGTGCCGTTGGCCGAGTAGGACGTCCCATCCAGGATGAAGGATCGTCCTCAACGCACGGGCGAAAGACACGAATGGAAGCTGCATGCACACATACATTCAAGACCTGTGCCGTAGTGGACTCGCAACAAGCATAGTCTCTGATATGTCCTGCATCATTGGACTCGGGGCGCACGAATTGAAGATAAGGGAAGGCGCAAGAGAAACCTGATGCAGGACTGCAAAATGGGCATCGACATTGCCTCTGAGCACATAGGCTCCGGTTTACTCACTGCAGCAGAAAGCAGCAGCGAAGAATATACTGAATCTACTGCATTGTAGATCAAAATTAGCTGCCCGAGCAGCGGCTAGTCCAGGCATTCTCGGATGGGGATCCGATCAACAGCAGGTTTGCGGAGGCGCACTCGCCAGGAAGATCCTCAGTGCGTCGGAATGCTAGCCGAGACCCCACCCGGATCCCACATTCAAAGCAAACCACAGCTGCACTTGCGGACGGGATGCCCACCGATCTCCCACAAAGTTGGCCCCGCTGGCATCGACAACCTTTGTTGCGAGCGACCAGGGACAAGCAATCATAAATCCGAGTCACAGCACACGATCAACGTCAGACAACTAATCCAACCCTGATCATGCGCAGCAAAGTTGCTCGAGGCGCGTAGCGGCTGACGAAATACAGCTTATTGGCTAACCTTGGACACACCGTTGGGGTGGGCAAACTTTCATGCAGATTCATGCTGTACTTGACTTCGGCTTCACAGACTAGGAGGACCTGTCTCTACACTTATGACCGGAACGAATGTGGAAGTAATGAGGGGCATCGACATCATCATGGTGCCCATCCTCATCATCAGGAGGAGCAGCACGGCAACATGAGGGGCTGCATGCATGCATGAATTAAACGAAATTGAAGCTGAGCGTAAGTACTTATAGTCGGACTGGAGATTTTCGACATAGTGCACGTACCAGTAACAATTGCTTCCAGAACAACTACCTCTTGGCATTGTTGGAAGACGACAATCAGACGATGACGAGGCATAGCAGGCAAGGACTCTGCGCAATTAGAGCAGGCTACATACAGATGTGCAAATCGGGGGCCCCCGGAAACGTTGAATGGGTTGGACCGGGATAGGATGCGGCTTGCCATGTTCGGTGAACATGGAATGCTCAGGCTACCTGCATTTGGTCCTTGAGCGGTTTCCTGCACGAAAGGGAGGCTCACGCACGCCGTGAGCGATTTCGACTTGATACCTCTCCGATCCCTGGCCAAAACAAGGCGTCATAATAACGAAAACTACTTCATACCAAAACGCTGTAAATTTTAAAGAAATGTGCCTAAATGTGTGTATGTATATATATATATATATATACACACATATACATATACACCTGTATACGTATGTAGGTATGTACATATGTACATAAAGAGAGAAACCTATGTACACCTTTACGCACTCGTTCAATGGGCGCCCCGGCCTCTCTACTGAATCATGCAAGTGACTAATCAACACCCTACGCCGCAGAGCCTAGCTGATTGGTGATGATTAGCCCTAAACCCCAGGTACCTACCATATAGGGTACTAGAGCCCCTAGAGCCCTATATAGTAGGTACCTGGGGGGTTAGGGTAGTCTTACTTATTACTGTTCCTGAAAAATTTCAAGCTCGGCCCAGGCGGCGTCACTGCTTGGCTGCGCTGTCCTGCACCGAAAGCCAGGCAAAGAGGGGCTCGGCGAAGGGCCGCGTGGACCGGGCCGGCGCCGGCCTCAAGACATCATGCAGGGGCAGGGAGTCCGTGAAACTGAACAATCGAGTGCCGATGTTCTTGATCACTCGAAGTTTTTCCTGGAGCTGGGCGTGAACTCATGTCCTGTCTCGGTAGGCGACTGCGACACTCTCGCTCTCTCCCATGGGACGAAGGGATCGGTGGAGGGAAGTCTTCTGTCAGGAGGGTCACAGCCAACTGTGTCATAGGGCCGTTGAAGCACGAAGCCCTGCACTGAAACCTGGAGCACAGTAGAATTATGTTGCAGTAGTACGATTCGAGACGGCACTCTTCCATGGAAGGTGTGTGGCTTTTGAGCTACTGTACTAGTCCACACATTGTTTGCGCGTTGGACTAAAGGTGCCTGAAGACCGCCGCGCTGAACAGCTTCCCAGTCCTGAAATCACGGGCAAGCCACAACTCCCGACAGAGCAGCGGAGGGGAAGAAGGTAGGCAAGGTCGCACTGCAGTGATCTACTTCAGCCAGGCATCGCAACCATCTGAGCCTGAGGCACAGAAAACAGACACGGATGCTGATTGCATGACACTTCCGGGCAATATGGATTGTGTTGCGTGGTGCACATGTTGCTCAGCATATAAAGCTACAAGTAACAGGATCAACCAGAAAACGCACACAGCCATTAGTGCAAAACCCGATGGCGAAAGAGAGATGACCAGAACTGCGACAATGACAATGGAAGTCATGCATTGTTGAAGCCAAAGAGCCCAAGCCACAAACTTTCCAGGTGCTGTGCTTCTCGGCGCGGCATAGGTGCGCACACTTTGACAGCAGACCGCTGGAGGCAAACGTTGTGCCTTGCAGCAGCACGCACGGCGCATGCAAATGCATACGTACGTGTGTGTATATATGCACATACATGCTTACGTCCTTAGATAAATTTGCACATGCACCGTAGATATATACATAACGTAAAAGTGGACAACTAAAAGCAACATAAATAGAATATACATACCCGCACATGTACTGAACATAAACCTCTCGCGTAAACACAAACACATGCGCACACACACACACACGCACACACACACACACACGCACACATGCACACACACGCGCATGCTCATACACACGCATACACACACGCACACACGCACACTCACACACATGCACACACACGCGCACACACACGCAGGCACCCACACACAGCACGCGTGCATTTTACATACAATTTATACACATGCACGACAAAAGCACGGGCAGCTGCACTTCCTGTACACACACATATAAATATCAAATAATTATGCGTACATACATGCATACATACTTGCATATGCACACAAACAGCCGACCTACCTACTTCCATGCGTTCATGCATGCATGAGTGCGTGAACACAAATCACTTTATTCATTCATTCATTTATTATATTGCTGCATTCCATCCATTCATTCATTCCATTCCAATCCATTCCCATATATTCCCATTCATCCATTCAATCATCCATTCATGCCTTCACCATTCCTTCATTCAAACATTCAATCGTTTTTTCTTTCATTCATTCATTCACTCGTTCATTCCTTTCATTCACTCATGCGTTCATTCTTTCTTTCACTCATTCATTCATTCATTCCATGCATTCATTCATTCATTTATTCCACTCATTTCGTTCAATGTATTCATTCATTATTCATTCATTCAATCAAGGGTTCATCCATCCATTCCATTCCAGCCATTGTTCCATCCACTCCATTCCAAGAATTCCTGCCTTCACTACAGCTCAATCACTGCCTCCATTCTTTGATTCCATTTATTCGTTCATTCATTCCATTCATTTTCCGGCATTCTGCGCAAGTCCTTTCCACTCATGCTTTCCTTTCTTTCATTCCTTTCATGCATTCAACCATGCTCTCTCTCAATGCCGTTGCATCCAGAGGCCTTGAGACCCACCCCTTCAGGCCCCGCACGAAAAAGTGAGCCGCCCCTCAAGCAGCAATCCGTTCAACCATTCAACTATCCTTCCAATCATTCAAGCATTGATCCATCGATTCATTCATTCATGTATTTAATTTCTTTATGCATTCACTGGTCCAGCCGAATCGTGCATGCATCCAATCATCCATTATGTCATCTATCGTTCATTCGTTCCTTCACGACATGCGTACCTTCATTACATACAAAATCTCAGAATGCAAATATGTGTATATATATAATATTATATATATGTATAATATACACACGCATACATACAGATATGCATACATGCATGCATACATCCAAACATGCTACATACTCACAAGCATTACATACAGAAAACAGACAGGCTAACGCACAGGCCGACAAACAGGAATAAATGCGAACAGGCATACATGCTTAGGTTGGTACAGAACACGGGGCAATCGGCTCGGAGTAACGTATGGTCGGATGAATGACTGGCTTTCTTCTTTGGGGTCCCCAGCTCAAAAGTAGGCCGAACAAAAATCATGCTTGTTACATACATGCAACCAAGTATGCATATACATATATACACGTGCAGACATACATACACGGTCTCTTCAGTGGGTACATGTAACGCTTTTCAACACTCGCACTCGACGAGGTCAGGCGAGGTTTGCGGCGGCAGCAAAGCATCAGAAGGCTCATTACGAGCCAAATGTATATGTATACATGTGTCCGTATGCACGTACAATTTTGCGGTCATATCTGTATATTTACGGGTATAGTGCGTGACATGTATGTCATGTCATGTCATGTCAGGTCATGTCATGTAGGTGGGTAGGTAGGTAGGTAGGTAGGTAGGTAGGTAGGTAGGTGGGTGGGTGGGTGTGTAAACTACGTCACATTCATGCAAACCGTATGTTTCATATGTGTCATACAAGCAAGTTACATCTCGCCCCCGTCGTAGCTTTCTTAGTGGCCCACAACACTCAACAAGGAAAGTTTGCATCACCGGGCTGGGCAGCCATCCACCGAGAGCATGCGCGGCAATGCTTGGCCTCGCAGCTTTGCCAAGTTGCAGCCTACAGTCTTCCGACAAAGCTTGAAAGGCTCGCTGTTGGAAACTGTCATAACTCAGAACAATACGATGTGACTGTTGTTGGCGACCTACAAGCCAGGGCAAGCATCGGATCACACATCAGTCTTTCAATGATGTGCATCAGCGACGGTGGCCGGAACGACGGCAACACTTCAGTCTCACGAGGAACATAGTTCAGAATAGACAGTTCCCGTCATCGAAACTCCCCCTGCAAACTCAGTGCAAGCTCCCCATGTCATGAGGCCTGTTCCCGCGACTGGCTTCGCAAGAGAGTTGGACTGACAGTGGAAATCCCACGTGAAGCATAATTTGGTGATGTCGACGCAGGTGTAGCTATTCCTGCTAAATTCACTCGTCAACAATTGACATTGAAGGCAGTGGCCAGAAATCACATCTAACTAACACCTTCCGCGGTGCTTGGTCGTGACTCCTTCCTGGGTTTCCCTTGCCTGCTCGAGTTCTGAAGTGGTTTCCGCTTTCTCTGCCCCATGTAGCGACTGGTCTCAGGCATGAAGGCAGAGATCCCTGTGCCCAACACTCAGGCTCAGCATACCCCTGCCCGTAGTAACGGATCTCCTTTGCCGACTTCCCGTACCTACTTCGCGCAGTCACTTCGCTACACAAACCTTTCAGGGCTGATGCATCTGTGGGTATGTGCACCCGCCTAAACAAGTGCAGCGTTTGGCTTTTCAGGGCCGTCGCTGACCACAGACAAGCAGTAGACCAGGTCAGAAACAAGTCTTCCTCTCAATATTATATTGGTCTTGTTGTTTTCGTAGTAGCAGCCTCGCCGAGGTCGAAGAGCGAGGCGTCTGACATTGAAAGTCCTCAGAGTGGACTCGAACATACGAACCTGCACCTACCGGCCAACGTCACAACGGTGAGTCATTTCCCGCTCGTTATCTCCCTCTGCCAGAGCACGCGACTCGCCAGTAGGGATCCCCATTGCCTCCGCCACTTCCCTCCTGGTGATGGACGAGGTAGAAGGGGATACATCCAAAGTTTCGACTGTTACTTGAGACGTGTTCTACCTTCGTGCTTCTGACCTTGGCCAGAGCTGGGTCCAGGAAGCCAGGATGTGGTCAGTTCTAGCAATCGAGTGGTTCAAATGGTGCGAGATCTCTTTGGTGTCACGCCATCTGCGCCATAACATCTCGAACAGTCTGGCTTTTACAATGACTGCACCGTGCTAGGCTTGCCACTACAGCAACTACTTCGCAACCACAGTTGTCCAGTTCTTCGTTTCACCTCCTGACCCCCTTTCCTGATGTCTAAGAGCTTGAAGTATCATTCAATTCAGAAACCAAAGCCCAAGATGGCTTTTCGGCCAGTTTCTTAAACAGGCTTTTCTAGATTCGAGATTCTAGATTGCCTCCTTGCGATCGGCAGTCGCCACAGCAGTTCACGATAGCGTGGGCACATCGTGGGGCTTGTTGCCATTCTCAGGCTGGGGCCAGAGCATCAGAACTGCGTGCACTGTAGTAGAATGCTCCACCCCGAGCTTCCCTACTATCCGCAAGGCAAACTGGTTCTGAATGGGAACGATCGCATGCCGCGTTCGTCACAGCCGTGGTCCATGCGGCCCTCTTCGAACTCAGGCTCAAGGCGGCTATCATCTGTTCTTGCAACGCATGGGCTGCAGTTTGGAGATTTACACGAGTCTTGGCCATGCCTTACGTGCTGGTTTTTCCACCAGTGGAAACTACCGCTGGAGGGTGTTGGACAATTGGAGCTCGCCATGCTTGAAGGCGGGCAGATGCCTGCTTAAACCAAGTAGCACGCGTTTCGGTCATGCGCTGTGCTCCAGCAGAACACGAACTGATCGCGTGCTGCGGCTTTGCTGTAGTCTCTGTCGGTTCCGCTTTCCAATGTTGTGAAGGGCACAAGAATGAGGCTGAAACACGCCACGGCATGGCAGGCCGGAGGTGACATTGTTGTAACAGGTAACATGTTGGAACGATGGTACAAAGGTCGAGTCCGATACCCAATTTGATCCCTGGTGTCCGGAGCCACTATGCCGGTGCAGGCCGTGATGTTCTGCTTGGTCTTTGGGCACCTCGGAACGGAAAATGTAGCAAATATGCAAATCAATGTTCCCCCTATAGCTGAAGGCTCGTGGCCTGTCGTACAACTTGGTACGAATATGAAGGCCAGCTCGGCAGTTCAGAAGCAGGGCATCATTCGATCGAAAATTTTAACCAGAGCTGCTCGCGGAGTTGCGGGAAGTGGAAGTGTTGGAGAGCAAGACTCTAGACACACCACCCTTTACAAGTCTCCAAGTTACGCTTTTTGGGTCTTCTAGTTGGTTAGCACTGGCCTAGCGACGTTAGGGTGACGGTGATTACAAATATATTGAAACTCTGTAGCTATACACAAGTTATGCTAAGTGATAGGGTTACACAAACATTCTTAATTGTGGCTATGTGCGGATTCTTAGAATGCTCAAACTGCCCGAGAAAGATCGACAACTCTTCCCCCGAGGCGCCTCTGGACAAAGATGCGGCCCGGCTCTGCGGCCTCGGTTCTTGAGGAAAACGCTTCTCAGGGTTTAGGGTCTTTGTCTAGGGGCGTATCATAAGGGTTTCTAAGTCGGTGATGGATTTAGAGGGTTTGATGTGATCATTGGTGCATGTTTAACTATACCTGTGTGCTCTGTCGCAAGTCGTCTACGCGCAGTGGATGTCACGAAGGCATGATGTGGAATGGGCATAGCTGAACCAAGCCTTGTTGTAGTCAGCTCAGCATGCAACCTGCTGGCCATTGAACCACTGCTAATCGCAAGTCTGTCGGAGAACAAAGGCCAACTTAAGAAAGCCATGTGCGGGCACGGCACGTCGAGTTGCTGAAGCACCTGCCCGCAGCTTGAAAGAGTGTCTCATGATGTCTGATGCTGCTTGCTTAGGGCAGTGTCCTTGATACGGTGCATTTCTGCAGGGCCAACATCCTATTTTTCCGCAGAGTTTGGAGAGGTTCTCGCAGTCGTGCAAATGTGACACCCTATCGGCCCCATCGCTGCCTTGGGCCTTCTGTTGAGAGTACGCCGAGAACCGTGAGAATGCCCTCATAGGCTGTTATAGGCTGACTGCGATTGTTATGCGGGGTGCATGGCTCTCCTGCCTGGAGGGACCCGCGGGATCCGTAAGTCGCAGGCGAAGTCACGGAAAATTCCTCGGCTCGCGAGTGTCGCTCTGTGATCTTTCTCGTCAACTCCTCCCGCGACAGTGCGATTGTGACTGCGAGGGGAGGCAAAGAGAGTCCAACAACAGCACAAACCACTTCCACGTCGAGAATCGAAGTACTCCGGCAACTGGGGCAGGCGCAGGTCACCGCCAGCAAAGCTGGCGTTCAAGCCTGCGGAGGATTGCAAAAACATGCACAGATCTGAATTAGCACACCGTCAACAGAGCAGATCGCTTATACCAGTCCTCTGCTTGCAAGCGATTTCCGCAGTGCAGAAGCCGAGGTCGCTAGCTTGCTCGTTCGCTCTCAGTCTCCCTCTCCTCGTCCCACTGTTTGGGCTTTTCCGGGCAGCTCACATAGTACCACGTATGCATGTGCGCGTACATCGATACAAGTCATAGGTAGACTTAAGTACATATGCATCATATTCATGGACTAAAAGAGGCGTTGTCACTCGGATCAGGCGAGCAGCGCTCTTGAAACCACTTGGCCAAAGAAGGCTCATCCTGGCCGAACCAGTGGCCCACACCTGCGCTGGGCAGGAGCCCGGGGCGCGTCCCATCCATGTTGAACACGCCAGGGTTTGGGGGACCGTCTTCGTAGGAACGACCCGGCTAGAAAATCTGAGAAACTTACGCATGGCAGGCAATTCAACCAAGTGCTACATGGAATTGCACCTGGAAGCTCGACAGCTGTCACGGTGCTGTCTTTCTGCCTTAGAGCAGCTGAAGCCATGTTTTAAGCAAATAAGGGAATCCCTCGCTCGCCAAAACTCCTGCATTTAACAGATGTTACTACATTACGGTCGATGCTATTGGCCGAGCTGACAAAAGACTCCCTCGGCTAAGCATCAGTCTGACAAGCTGCCCTGCAGATTCGAGCAAACGGACCATGTTGCGAGGTTGTGTCGGTGGGACGTTGTCGTCCTGCTGCCATCGCTGCATGCAATGCTCACATCTGCTACACTTTGCCTTCAGACGTCCTTGCTCCCGTAGATCACGAGCATAGGTACGCCAACCAGGTTCTCGTGTGCGAAATCCTGGTGAACAGGACGAGCTTCAGCTGGGGCGATTCGTGCTGCTTGGCTGTTGCACGCCGAGCATCCGCCGCGTGCTCAAAGCGGGCTTCTTCCAGCAAACCGCGACGGGTTCCATCGAGAAGGCCTGACGTCACGCAACAGCACTGCACAGCCAACCCTCGACATTATGTCTTTGCCCTGTCCCGCCGGGCGTCCGACATGAACATTGCGCAGACCAGCATACTGTGTCAGCCGTATCAAGTCACCAAACTGCAGGACTCGGAGCATTTTGGAGCCGGAGCTTCGAATGCGAGATCCGGCATCCACTGCAAATTCCAAGCCCAGTGGCCTGAATGGGAATCACCAGCGTATGAGTTCAAGGACGGCCAGCCGGAGGCACAAGCAGCACCCAGCAGCAGATCCTTTGCAGAGGCCACATGTCGCAGATCCCGAAACCCGAAAGCCAGGTTTTTGGCGTGAGTCTCCAGCCGAGGTTCTCTGCGACATGATGCAATGAACAAGATCTTATCGTGCCGACGTGTCTGCCAAATGCCATGGGATGTTGCAATGACGTTGAAAATTAGCATCACCAACACCATCACTGACCATCACCACATATCACCACCATCTGGAGGAACGCCCTGATTAAACCAGGTCTATCAGGAATCGGATATCGCAGGACCTCGTGCCCAATGAAGTGCTGCTGTTTTTATATAACTAAGACTACTCGCAGTAAACAGAAAACATCCTGGGGCTCGAGGCCACGAGTCTGGAAAGTGACTGGCGAATACAAAGCAGCCGTGGCCACCCATGGAGTGGCCTGCGGGACTCCCACACCGAGGGCGATTCAGCTACTTGTAGCACAGTGGGTTTGGGGAGTGCTCGCTTATCTACACTTCTTTGCCTTGCAGAGCTTCCGGGGCTATACCCGCCAAGCACGTGTTGGTCCAGTGTTGGTTGGCTTTTACATTGGACATGGTGGACAGCGGATAAAGTGAGCCTACAGACTATGAACAGGCAACAGGTTCTAAGAGATGGTTTGGCCGACAACCAGGCGACCTCGAGTTGTGCGTGTGTGTGCCTGTATGTATGTATGCATGCCTGTTAATGCTTGAAACCGCACACACGTGTTTGGTTTTGGTTCTTGCCCACGGGATGAAGATCGATAAACGGGCGTGAGCCTGTCAGCCTTGTCATTCAGTCCGGACACTGTTCCAAAGTCTGCAACATGCAGGGTTCGGGCTGCCGAATCGCAAGATTCACCTACTGGCATCCGCGCCTGTCACCAGCACTCGGGTGTCGTCCAAGCCGTGGCTCTTTCGCCGCTCGGTCGCGTTGCCTGGGGCTCCTGCTGACGATCTTGCTTTTTCATTGCACGGAAATCACCTGCCTGCTGCTGATCAGCTGCAGTGGAGCTGGACTGTTGCAAATACAAGTTGGTGACCGCAAATCTCCTGGCAGCTCGTCGCGAACATAGCGCAGGGCACCCAAAGCATTGTCCAGGCCTTTAGTACAGGCGCACCAGACAGCAACCAAACCTTCCCGAACTGTGAGGCCACTGCATACGAAGGTCTGACCTGCACAACATCTACCTCACAACCCCCGGGTCTCCGCAAAAGCAGCTTTATGCTTATGTCGTACCTAAGCAAACAGATAATCGCTCTCTCATTAGTCATTGCCATCATGATGAAGGACCCCCTTCTCAGGCTCAACCGGTTCTGAGAAAATCGGAAGAAAAGAAACTAGGCGCCGCTTATGGTGCACTAACCGTATGGTGACCCTTCTGGAAAACCCCACCATGATATCCCTGATAGCGCAACGTAAGAAACCTTACATTGCCTTACAGAATAGAATCGTCTTGCGGCCATGGTTCCGGGCCCTTCCCAGTCTGTGCCCCAATGCCAGCGGTTTGTTGGCTGTACGAGCCAAGCACCGTAGGGGAAGCGTTCCCTCGGTGGCAGGACGGGGCTTGCCCTAGCTGGGCTTCGCCGCACGCACTCGGACAAGTCCAAATAATCCGGAAGGTCTAGATTTCGGGTCTGCGTTGGACAATGGAATCCGGCACTCGCAGGGTTTTTGAGTTTGGAGGTGGGCGGTGAGACTGTGGGTCTCCGAGCGTCTCCCCGCCCAGCTCATAACCTCAGCTGGTGAGCCCTATCTTTCCGTGCACGCAGCTTACGAATCGACAACTGTTCATGCTCAGACCAGCGCAAGGCGAAACAGCGATCTCACCCTCACTAGGTTCCAAGCTGAATCCGAAAACGAGTAGCCCAAACGAAGAGTGCTGGATCAAGACCCCCAGCAAATCAACGGCAACAAGAAGTTAGATGTTGGCGCGTTCTCTCGTAGCAAAGCCACGCACACACCCGAACGCCCTGCTGCAATAAGGCAACAATGCCAAGACGCTATGTCCCCACACTGGACCCACACTGACGGAGGCACCGTGCAGAGAGAGCATCACCGGACAACCCCGAGGCGGGCAGGTCCTCCAGCGAAGAGGCGTGATTCGCATTTCTCGGATATGAGAGTTTGGGGATCGCAGCGGCAGCTCGCCCCAATTCAACCCTCAACCGTGTGGCCAAGCAGGTCCTGTTGGCAAATTGGCTAACATCTGGAGGTGCGGCCCAGAGCTTTTGGATCGAGCCTCCGCGAACGACCCCACTGAGGGAGCTCTAGGTGGTGGCTGCGTCTTGGCCTCTTTGACAGAATTTAGCGACAGCGTCTTCGTAGAAGTACGTTGGATGTAGGGTATGCCCCGATTGGCTTTGTACTTGGTCATGTGTTGTTTCTTGTGAGATGGTACTGTACCCGATCCGCTCGTAATGTCATGCCGGACTCGAGGCCTAAAATTAAAGCTTGCCATGGGGCTCCTGAATTGGAATTGCGAAAATAAGCATCAAGGAAACCTATCGGCCAGTCGTGCATCTTTCAAACGAGGAGTGAGCTCGTAGGACAATTACGGTTCTCAAAGACCTTGCGCCATAATTAAGCAAACGATCAGGCTTAGCCAACCAGGAACCAACCACCACAACAGTGCAACAAGGGAATCACAGCATCAATTAAGCATATGAAGGGTTCTCTTATAGAACTGGAACCTTCTGGCCCTAAACCCGCGCAGCCCCACGCTGCCCTAGCCCCAAGGCCCGCCATCGAAGTCTGGGTAGGCCACAAGGAAGCCACGATCCGCACTGCGGCCTCGCAAAGCTTTACGATCATTCTGGCACAACACAACGCACACATGCACGGAATGGATCAATAACATAGAATCGAAAAACTGGGACTGGTCTTACCATAGCGCAGCCCCCTGCCGCCACCAACATCACCACCACCTCCACCACCACCACTGTCATCATCACCCTAACCTATCTAGTGCTGCCTCTTGCGCTTGCCCAAATTCTGCAGGTGCTGGGAAAAAAGTTCAAGTTCGACCAAAGGACATGCTATAGCAGCTATAGCATCGGCCGAATCGCACCTACGCACAGGTTCCAGCTGCTTCAAACTCACTACTTAAGAGTCCTCAGGAAGTAATTACACGTCATGCTGCTCCGTCAATCGGGCTTGCCCGTCGCCCCTCATCGTGTGTACGCGGCGGGTCCAATAGATTTCTCAGCCGATCATTCGTCATGCCACGATGTATAAGCCAAGCCTGTTGGTCGTAGAAGAATGTGCTGAATACTATAGGTAGGACAATAAGGAAGTATTAGAAAAATTCCGTCTTTTGCAGGACCCCCCTTGGTGCACAAGAGGATCGGCATTGCGTGGTGATGGAGGCATGGACCGGCGCGTGGTTGCCCTCTGGCTGCAGAGCTACCGTGAAGGTGAAAACCTGCAAGGTCCGCTTTCTCTGGTGGGGGTTCTGCTGTAAGGCGCACATTGGGCGGGACTGCCGAGATGCAGCGAAGCGAAAAAGAGGCGTAGCCTTGACGAAGTAACACTAGCGGAGCCAGGGTGCCTTGGGCTGCCCATGGCAGGTCAGCTGCCCAACCTGTTGCCAAGACAGGCGATACATGCCAATGCCAAAGTGATTCCTGCGTGGAAACATACCGGAAATGACACGTGGGTGCCTGAACACACGAAAAGCTGGATTGGCTAGAAGTAGGTTACCCCAACAGGCCTGCTGAAGGTTCAGCCTCAGAATCATGGCCTGCCTGGGCGTAGAGAAAACAATAGTTCGTCTCGTTGGTCTTCAAGGTGTGACGAAGCAAATCACTCCCGTGGACTCAAGTTGGGCAAAACATCTGATTCTGTACCATGTTGCAGCGCAGCAGGAGGAGAATACAGGCATCGACAACAGCGAAAAGCCTTAATCTCTGGGGGCACGAGCCCCTCGAACAGCCGTCAAACCTCTCGATGCGGCCCCCAGTTTTTAACAGCCTTATAGGTCAGGGTACCCAGGTTGTACAGCAGGCAAATCGCCGGGATGGACTCCTGTCAAGATGGCTTTGGGCTTGGGATGGGGCATGCCGTCTCCAACGACAGGCCCAGCGAACATGACAGGCCTTGCGTATCTTGACAAGAGTAGAAGCCACAGAACGCACTCTGCCATACCGCTGAATGATACTATGCTTAGGTGACGCCGTATGCCGTACCTACAGGATCCGTCCTTGGACACTGAGATTCACCGCTTCTTCGACAATCCTGGCACCGGCAGCTTCCACGATGCCACGACATCTCAATTTGCAAGGTATGCCAAGGGAAGCAGATCGCGCAGATGATCCCCAACGTGTCGTGTCTCAGCATGTGGTGTGGTGCTTACCAAGCAGGTGCCGAGGAGTGCAAAACCTAGGGCTTCGATTTTCCTGTTTGCATCCACGATCATCCACATCGGACGACGAACAGTCTCCACAACTTCGAGTTTGCCAGGGCACGCAGCGCTGAGCAAGTGCAAGGGCTCCCGGGCAGTGTTGAGGATGGGGATTCCTCGGTTCTTCGATCCGGTGGGGTCGGCATGCCTCTATCAAGACGAAGTTCACCTTGAAGGCTCGGTTCACCTACCATCGCCTAGCTGGTTAGGCGTGAATATGCCTCTGGGCCTCTCCTCTATGCATCGATAATCTTGACCGGCAGAACTGAGGGCTGGTGCAGGCCGAAGCACTCTACCACACATCTCCTGTTAGTGAGATTTCCAGTTTGGGGTCTTTCCGTATCCGGACATTCGGGGCATCTTGGTGCCGGGTGCTTGTTGGAGCCAGCCCTGTGGATCTACCAGCATGCAAGAAGGCCAAGTTCGCCAAGGTGCCCAGGTGAGGAGAAGCTAGATCAGAGCCGATGACCTCCACAGTCAGTAACCGACTAAAACGTGGCTTTTCGACGAGAGCGTGAGCCTCAAGTCTTTTTGAGCCGGCCCGCCTCCGAGACGGCTACGTCCTTCAGCAAGACCAAAGGGCTGAGTGCCTGAAAGGCTTGGGGCTGGGCACTCCCAGGTCTTGCTTGACGTATGTCTTACACCGTCTGGACCATGGCACAATGTGTCAAAATTCAACACCGCAAGCTGCAAGCCGCTTTGATATCCTGCATATCGCATGCAATGCCGCATGTACCTCAATGTATGTATGCATTTATGGGTATCGACTAGAAACCTTGCCAGTTACAGAGCTCTCATCGAAAAAGATGCCGCTCGGCCTTCTCGGGCCCACGAGCTGCCATGCCCGTCAAAGCTTCCCGCGCTTTTGCGCCATCCAGGAGAAACTCGCAGCGGAAGCCTGGAGTTCACTGGAGGTGTATAACTTTTCTGATTCGAAATGCGAAAAAAATTGGCGTGGGGCACATCTCTGCAGGTACGGCCCTCGTACAGCGTCAGCACAAAATCAGAGGCATTAGGCACGATGCCCTTTACCTTGCCTGGCTCTGCCGCCTTGACAAAGACTCGGTGCTGCCCCTTCCTGACTGGCGTGCACTCACAGGAGAGACCCTGCTGCTGCGCTGCAGAAATTGACACTGATTCGTCCAAGGATCTGCAAGTGCAGAACATGCACGGACCGGTTCTCCCCATAAACGTCCGCCAAGCGCAAAGCTAAATCAGAGTCCAAATAAAAAGAGCTCGAGCACTTCCTGAGCTCTGGGAGGCACTTCAAGCTGAAGTCCCTACATTCCATCTACGTCACCAAGACTAGTATACCATCGGTATGTCTTACAAAACATGTCCGCGAACAAGATTTGCTGATCATGGCTAATCCAGAAGTTCTGCTCCTGGCGGACCCTGCACACACCTGACAAAGATGGAGCGACCAAGCTCCTGACAAACTGCCAAACACCCCACGAACGCACACAACACTAATCACTGCCGCACGGAGATGTACGAATCGAGCCAGGTCTCGCCAAAATCGTTGCGTCGCTCGTAAGGTTGAACTCACCCATTGCCCAGCCACTGCCATGGCCCGTCTCATCTGAGAAAAGCTTTGGGTTCCTGCGGGCAAAAACATGTCAGTGACTGAAACACCATCAATAGCGGTCTGAAACTCAAACGGTTCCCCATTGTCTCTGACTCTATGGGAGCGAGGGAGCAAAAAGAGACATAGAAATGAACCGACCAAGATAGAGAGCGAGGAAGCGTGGTCAGGCTGAATCGTTCAGCCTGTCTACGTCCGACAGGCACTTGGGAAGGCAACACCCATCGTCGAAAGCAGACATGACAACCCAACTCATATAGCTGACCAGACCATGTTAAATGACCAGAGTTGTTGCAGCGTTTGGGTCAGTGTTTTCCTTGCACAATCATCTTTCTTTAGGCACATCTTGAACGTGAAACTATACTCAGTTTCCTGGCCAGTTGCGTTGTCGCATTGATCTATCTTGTCTGGGGGTTGCAAATTTCGCCATCACCGCTGCGCTCTATTTCATTCTGCTTCCCGACATACCTGCCCGGCAACACTTGAGCAGCAACGAGTGCAGTGAGCATGCAAACGAGGGCAGTGGAACAACATTCCTGACTTGATCGCAATGTACATCACACCTCGTTGTGTTGGAAAGTGGCACAGGAACGCGACACAAAATCAAACTCTCTTTGCCATCTCATTTAATTTAAGCCATGATTGAACAGCAACGGGACAGCCTGAAAACCTTCCTTTCTTCCTTTGGGGGCAGCTGCTCCATCAAGCAGAAAAGCGAACACTTCCGACCACGGCAGAGTGATCAGTCCAGCCAGCTGTGACTGCCAGCTGGGTGAAGTTGACCTCCACCTGACAAATCTGTGGGACGGACCTGCTAAGCTTCTGTAAGACTGCCCCCGATGCAGGACACACACCAAGCTTGTTCCCTGAACACCTTGCGCCTTTCCATGAAATCTTTGCGCAGTAAACCCTGAGCGCGACTGTCGCTCCATCGTAGAGTCGGGTAGTGGCATCTCACCAAGCAGCTCCTACTTCAACGACATTGCCACAGAATCCTGGCAAGAGGCCGTTTCGTCCGAGTAGTTTGCCAGGGCGAAGCCCCAAAGTGTGCGCCCTCCCGGGCCCACCTCTGTGGGAAACCTCACTTGAGTGACCATCTGCCGCCACATGCGTGGTTGCAGCGAAGTGAAATGAACTGTTGCGCGACCAGAGGGAAGGCTATGAAGGCTACTCATGCCATGCTGATGCCTTGCCAGCGACTCGAATGCAACACAATATCCTGGCCCAGGAACGATTCCAGTGACTCGTTCAGATCACGAGGAAGTAAGGAGCTCTTCTTGGCGGCAAGGTGCGAAAAGACCTTCCTCAACGCCTTGGCAGAACGGCATCAGCTGTTCGTGCTGCAGCGTCCATAAATCCTGCAAAACGGACCCGCCAGGAGCATGCACGATCCCTGAGGTCCTGCAAAGCAAACGGCACCGCGGCCGCGGCGCCTTGTCGTAGTCCAGCTGCTCAGAAAAGGAATCATGCCAAAGTTCGGCACGCTCCCGGAGCGCAGTCCAGAATGTGGAGGGCAACCGCCCCGCGACATCTCGGATTTTGCGCGAAGCAGGCGGCACTGGAATCCTACATCGGCACATGAGTGCCCAGGGAATCCTTCATTATTATCTGAGTTCGCTCAGGTGCTAGCTCAGCGCAGGACCCCAAACTTGTCAGAAATTACTTCAGCGACAACACTCTGCAACCTCTTTCGGCTTCTTGCCCCCGACCCGCTTACATGACTGAGGATTTCAAACTGCTTGCACATCACGGCAGCCTTGGATGCCGCCGAACGCGGCCAGCGGCTCGACACCGCTGCTAAACATCCAGGGGCCTAGAACGGCCCACCTTAGAGTTTCGACTCTCTCAACTTGGCGAACCAGGCGAGGCCGTTGAGACACTATGTGGCAAAGCCGAGCACGGGTCAGGTCAATTGCTTCGACAGCCTTCCACATGAGTATCCTTCAGAACTCTCCGGCCACCAGGGAAGACTAAAGCCGATGATCCGATGATTATATACAACCTGAAGCTGGGTCCGGAAGCCATCATCCAGAAGTGCTCCAAAAGAAAGCCAGGGCGCAGCTGGGGGCCTACATTGCGCGGATATTCCACCTCGTCGGCCTTGTGAACGGATTCCAAGATAACAAGCTTGAATCGACCTCCTATCCTTCCATGGCAACAGGAGAACCCGCAAACAATGGCTCTTGATAGGCCATGAGCTAGCTGGATGGTAGAGACAGACTTACCATGGGAAATTGTGCAGCAAGGCCTAACAGAGCATCTGCAAAGATCAACTTCTCAAGCTGTCCAGACAGGGGACTTCAAGTTGTGCCGGCCGAGCATGTCGGATCTTGGAGCCTCAGGACTGGCAGGCAAGGGCTCTCAATGCTCTGCAGACGTGACTACGACAATCTGCATTATCCATCTGCTTCCTGAAGTGCACAAAGGCCCACTCAAGCTTTCTACGTGATGGGAAGCACGGACTTGGTCCTCTGCCTCTTGCCAATCCAGATCGGCTTCGGGCAAGCATCATGAGCATCAGCTAGCAAATCCTTCCTCGAACCTCTGCCGAGCATTGTGAGCATCAGCTGCAGGGTGCTTTGTCCCCCTGGTCAAGCCCGGCGAGCATCATCAGCATCAGCTGCAAAGTGCTCTGCATTCCCCCCCGCCCACGTTAGGCTTGATAAGCCGATGGTGAACCACTCTGCCCAAGCCGGGCAAGCACGGAAACGAGCATCAGCGGCGGGGTTGCTTGCCGCTCCGACCAAGCTCGGCGAGCATCAGCTGTGGTGTGCTTTGCATCTCCCCTCCCTGCTCTGTCCAAGTCGGACAAGCATCATGAGCAT